GTCCCTGTAATTATCCCCTTTATACTGCCGACAGGAAGTGTCCCCCCCTCCCCCATCACACCCCCGGAGTCATAACAATCACTGATCCGAGGAGCTGACACTCTACACCCCCCCATGCTGGGTCCTCGGCGCGGGAGGGAGGAATGCGAGTTGGATGTTTGTGGTTTCCTCTCAGGTCGGAGTTCTGACATTTTACCCAAAAAGGGAAAAAAAGATTCTTCTACCCAATCTTCCCAGCCTGCACATCGACCTCCGCTATTACGTCACCTCCGCCTCCGCCATGTTTGATGAGGGAATCTCTTGCCAGCATCTCCACTCATCTGCCCTCTTTGCGTGCAGAGACCCCGCCTCCTCTCTATGCCCCGCCCTGGGTGATGTGTTGGCGGAGATTGCGCATTGTATAGATGAGATGTGTTGGGGACCTGAATGTAGATCACGTGGTGTCAGCGGGTTCTCTATGAGCCCTCAGCAGCCCAATATGTCATTGTCACTGCACCCCCCAATGTGACCCAAACTGAGTACAGAGGCCTGTGCTCCCCTTCCAGGGACCAATCCCTACAGATCACATTTACATCTCCATCCTCTGTATTTACTGTCCTCTCCATTCACTTCCATCACCATCCTCTGTATTCACGACTATCACCGTCCTTTCCATACACCTCCATCATTTGTAGAGAGGTTGTTGTGGTTGGAGGGGTGAGAGGTCCCGGGAGTTGTACACTGAGGAGAGGGGTCCCGGGAGTAGGGTTGCCACCTGTCCAGGATTCACCTGGACAGTCTGGGTTTTGAATGCTGTGTCCGGATTTCATGGCAGCAAAAACCCGGACACAGGATGTCAGGCAGACAGGGGCAACCAAAATGAATATAGGAGCTACTGGCCCCCCACTGAAAATAGTCTCAACTGTGATATTCACATATGAATGGGTGGCGCTATTTAAATATGAATAAGCCATGACTCATTCTCCCCCAAAAAGTATCTGCGCATCGTGTTCGGGTTTCGCTTGAAGAAAAGGTGGCAACCCTACCCGGGAGTTATACACAGAGGAGAGGGGTGAAGGGTCCCGGGAGTTGTAAACGGAGGAGAGGGGTCCCGGGAGTTGTACATGGAGGAGGGGACCTGGGAGTTGTACACGGAGGAGAGGGGTCTCGGGAGTTGTACACGGAGGAGAGGGGTCCCGGGAGTTGTACACAGAGGAGAGGGGACCCGGGAGTTGTACACGGAGGAGAGGGGTCCCGGGAGTTGTACACGGAGGAGAGGGGTCTCGGGAGTTGTACACGGAGGAGAGGGGTCCCGGGAGTTGTACACGGAGGTGAGGGGAGATGATTATTTGATGGTCTGATTGGAAAGTCTTGGGAGGCGATGACATTGCAGAACGCGGGGGCGGTGGTGGTTCTGGGGGCAGAGGGCAGACATCACTGTGGAGTCTCTCCTCGGCCTCACCCGCCCCATCTATTATTAAATACATTTCCTGCCGCCTCCATTATGAGGAATTTATAGCGGAGGTCGCGGAGGACATTGAGCGGTACATCTGAGGCCGTATAAAAGGTTTTCTATCGATTGGAAGGAAGCGTGGACGGCGGCCCAGAACCCTCCAGGAGATCCATGAGCTTCTCTATTCCAGGAAACACATCGATCGATCGGCGGGGAGGTCACATGATTTTTGTCTAGCAGCACGGGATTAACCCCTTGCTGGCGCACCTTTATGTCTCTCAGCACTCAGTCATTAGGGGACACCGGATCTTCCTTATATGGGCATAGCTGACTCTCCTAGGAGGTTGGACACTCAGCCTGGCACTGGGCACATCGCCATCTAGTGGCCATACACCTGTAAGTACTTCCTATAGTCATCCTCAGCCTGATGATTTGCTCTCCAGAGAATGGAAGCCGATTGGATCTTCTCCATTCCTAAACGCTTCTCCACCATCTACCCCACGGGTAGCCAAACTCCGGCCCTCCAGGTGTGGTGAAACTACAAATCCCATTATACATCTCTCTCCGGGAGTCATGTCTGTGGCTGTGAGAATCTTGCAATGCCTCATGAGATTTGTAGTTCCACCACAGCTGGAGGGCCGGAGTTTGGCTACCCCTGATCTACTCTCTCCTGCCTACTAGGGTAAGGGATGGTCTACCCCACCTTCCATGGAGCTGGTCGTAGCCCTCCTTACCATCTTGTCTTGATTTGTATTGTGATTGTAATGTCTGCCCTATATTGTAAAGCACTGCGCAAACTGTTGGCGCTATATAAATCCTGTATAATAATAATAATCAAGGTGACTTCCTGTGTGATTCCTGTCGGCCATCTTTAAGAGTTCCATAGAGAAGAGGCTGAAATCTATCTCTGGAGGAAGTATGGATCAGAGGTGGTTGTGTGACTGCAACGACTTACTGGATTCTGGGCGTTTGGTAGCCCACATTGTCCATAACAGAAAACCACGGCACCTTTTCAGACTGGGCTAGTGTAATGAGCGGTGTGCCTCAGGGTTCTGTGCTGGGTCCCATATTGTTCAACTTATTTATTAATGACATCGGGGAGGGTGTTAACAGCGATATTTCCGTGTTTGCGGATGACACCAAAATTGGGAGGGTAATAGACACGGACTTAGACACTATAACATTACAGGAGGACCTGGATAAAATAGGGGAGTGGGCATTAATGTGGCAGATGAGGTTTAATGTCGATAAATGCAAAGTAATGCACTTTGGAATTAAAAATAAACAAATGGGTTATACAATTATGGGTATGCCGCTGGGGAAGTCAGAAATGGAGAAGGATTTGGGGGTCATTGTAGACCACAAACTGAAAGGTAGTTTGCAGTGCCAGGCTGCTGTAAACAAAGCTAGCAGGGTCTTGTCCTGTATTAAAAAGGGGATGTATTGCAGGGACAAGTCTATAATTTTGCCACTTTATAGATCATTGGTTCGACCTCATCTGGAGTACGCGGTCCAGTTCTGGTCACCAGTACTAAGAAAAGATGTCCTTGAGTTGGAAAAAGTCCAGCGAAGGGCAACCAAACTAATTAGGGGTATGGAGGACCAGAGCTACGAGACGAGGCTACTAAATTTAAACATGTTCACATTAGAGGTGAGGAGATTAAGGGGGGATATGATTTCCATGTACAAAATGTTTAATGGTGGTAGCAACATTAGCGATAAACTGTTTAAAATTAACTCCGTTACAAAAACTAGAGGCCATCACCTAAAATTGATGGAAAAAAAATTCCAGCACAAGGGGCGAAGGGGGTTCTTCACAGTAAGATCAGTTAGGGTCTGGAACTCACTGCCACAGGCGGTGATTTCAGCAAATAATGTGGAATTGTTCAAGAAACTTTTGGACGATTTCTTAAGGGACCGTAATATACAGGGGTACAGGTAATATACAGGGGTACGGGTAATATACAGGGGTACAGGCACTCCTAGAATGAGATCCTAATAGGTTGGACTTGATGGACTAATGTCTTTATTCAACCTCAAATACTATGTAACTATGTAACTAAGCCAAACTGGAGAGTGGATCCGCTTGTGCTATCTGCATGTGTGAGCCCCTAAAAGGGCCGAGGTGAAGAGTTCAAGTAGACCCAGCAGGTCTTCACCAGAGCACCCCGCAAGCAATTATGGACCTTACTAATGGATGTACCAGGTTGCCGGTCATTTCAGTGACTGCCTTTCCTAATGACCTGATCACTATGAGCTTCAGACTTGTACACCCGTCTGTCTGTGGCTCGCTTTGCTCTCCTTGAGAAACTTTGTTTGGCTGGTCAATTGCCTGAAGTCTTCTCCGGTCTCCAAGTAGTGCATAGAGTACTGGCAAAGGGTTCTTCTGCCTGAAGAAAGCTCTGTGGGTTCAAATCTAGAACATCTGGATGCAGCGTGTGTACTCTCGATGCAGGTGGGTCCTTGGACTTATGGTTTCATCCTCCGAGGTGGTATCCTTCATGCAGTTCCTCACCCAGACTCTAGAAGAGACATACTGGCCGGGTGGGAGAGATCTCCACTCTTCTGGACAGGGAGATTCCACTTCTACTGTGGAGGCTCTGAGTTGGTTTCCTACAACATCTCAAGGTTTTTCTGCTACTCTGTTGGGAGATCCTCACACTGAATACAAGCCTCTTTGGCTGTGGAGGTGTTCTTCACACCCTGTCAGTGCAGGAGGAATCCAAGCTATAGACCTGCTTGAGATCTGGGTTCTATGTCTGTCACTCCTGCATTAGAAACAACGGTTAGTTGCCACAAAGTGAGGATTCAGCCCACCAATGTCACAGTGGTGGTGCACATAAATCATCAGGGTGTCAAAAGAATCGGGACTGCATTGTGAGAGGTAAACCACATTTCTTGCTATTGAAAGTCTGGTCCTGGTTTTTTTGGTGGCCCACATACCAGGACTGGAGAACTGGTTGAAGGACTTTAGGAGTCATTAGTGTCGTAATCCAAGAAAGTGTTTGTTTGTTTTTGCCAGGAAGTATTTCATCAGGTTTGTCACTGGTGGGAGAAGCCAGATGTGGATCTGGAGATGCTCCACCACAATCCAAAGGTAAATAGGTTCATCACCAGAGCAAGAAACCCAGAAGGTATGTCCACTAATTTCTGATAGCTCCT